AGGGTGAACTAATGGGCCAAATCTGAAAAGCTGAAATTTAATCAGAGTAAGTGTGAGGCTCTAGACCTGCCCAGGGGTAGTAAGAAGCAGAACCTGAAGGAGAAATTAATTTTTAAAAAAATACTACAGAAGTATAGCATGGAAGAAAGAGGACTGGATGGACAGCCCCTCCTATGGAAATGATATTAGAGTCTACGTGGATTATAAATTCGGTAGGAGTTGACAGTGTGACATGGCACAAAAAAGTAACAACAACAAAATGTCTTGGGCCACACTGAGCTTTAGTACCCACAAAGAAAGAGGTCAGAGTTCAGCTGCCTCTGTCTTTGTCAGACCATACTTGGAGTACTGTCTTCGGTTCTGACACCACATTTTAGGAAAACCCTCAGCATACTGAAGTGTATTCAGGAGAGAGACCAGAAAAAATCACAGAAAAGAAAGCCTGGCGCAAGAAGACCAATTCGTTGTTGGCTATGTTTAGCCTGGAGAAAAGACGACTTAGATGGGACATTGGCTGTCTTGAAACATTTGGATTGTTATCAGATGGAAGAGAGTTGAGACTGATTCTGTTTGGTTCCACAGAGCAGAACTGGGAGCAGGGAGGGGAAAATGGCGAAGAGGTAGCTTTAAACTCAATGCTGTGAGACCTGAAGAACAAGGACTGTTTCTGGGGTTTTGGCTGTTGTTACTTTCATTGTTGGCACTGTTGACATTTCTTTGTATCTCCAGCACTTAGTACAAAGCCTGGCATATAGCAGACACTTAGATGTTAGATGCCTCACTGACTCAATATAAGGGAAAATGTCTTTGCCATCAGAGCTGCCCCACCCTCCAAGTGGAACAGGCTGCTCTGAGAATGAACGAGTCTTCTTGTCACAGAAAGTCATAAGCCAGATGAGCATTTGTCAGAGATGCTGCAGGGGAACTCTTGGTCAGATATGTTAGACTAGAGAACACTGGATATCCCTTCTGGATCTGAAATTCTGTATTCCATACATGTCTCTTTATATCATCTAATGAAGTTAGCACAGTGCTGGGCACACAGATCCTCAGCAAACACCTAATTAATTTGCCAAAGTACTATAAAATACTTTAGGACAAAGTATCATTTAGGACTAGATTATATTCCCATAACATAGGGAAAATATAATATAGGAAGGTATAAAGAATAACGCAGTTTTAATATTTGGGGCCTTATATTTCATATTTTGTAGGTACATCAAAAGCTTATTGATTTGGTGAATCATTTCAAGATTTGCTCAAGATTTTGGAAGTTCAACTTGAGTAGCAATGAAAATAACATTTTCCTGGCATTGGACATTTAATTTCCAAGACAGAAGACTAGATGTGCCTCTTTCACAGAGATGGCTCTGTTTACCTGGGAGCCTAAAACAGAGTTGTAATTTCAGCTTGTTATACTAAAAATATGAAAATAAAAATTATCTCTAAAGGGTCATCTTAAATGAGAATAACTACCTGTGGATAAACAGGAAAACAAACTGATTAAAAGTTGCTATAAGGCTGCAGGCAGGGAAGTAGATGGAATCGGGTCCCAGGCAGCATTATTCTTTCTCCTTAAATTTAATGCTTGGAGACTTCTAAAGGAACAGATATTTTACAGGAGTTTAAATATAAAAGGGTAAGAATCAAGACCCTAGCTTGGAGGGAGACCCTATTTTTCTCCCACCCCAGTTTCAATGACCACTGGAAAACTCTATCTCCACTTCTGGGTTGAGACTATGTCCAATTATATTCAATTTAGCACTTCAATATATATTGCTTTCTGTTGTTTTCTGATAGCTTCTTGTGTAAAGTCAGTGTCCCCAGTTTGATTGTAAGCTCCCTGAGGGTAGGATTAAAGTCAATATACACATTTGTGTCCTTCACTTATATTAATCCTGGTCCAGAAATAGGTACTCTGGGATAATGAATAGAATCACATTAGCCTCACAAACTTCTCCAAGCCAAGGAATGGGGGACATATAGAAATACAAAGCTGAATCTGCAGACGAGTGCTGAAAATATAAAACTGCTGTTTCAGAAATGAACATTGTGCTCTAGAAGACCTCAGCCTTCTTCTTGATCATGACTTATCATGTCAAGATTCTCTCCCCACCAACCCCTTCCCCCAAAGGAAGGACAAAGAGAAGGAGGGTGGAATAGAGAGGGAGGGCAGTGAGAGGGAAAAGACGGGAGAGAGAGAGAAGGAGGGAGAGGGTCGGGAGGGATGGAGGGAGGGGGGGAGCGAGAGAGAGACAGAGAGACAGAGAGACAGGAATCCACAAAAGCAGAGGTTATGCCTTCTAATTCTATGGTGTCTTTGAGGTGCATGACTTCAAAACTTTGGGTGATAAACAAGGATTGCTTGAACAGGTGGCCCGGAAAATGATCAAAGAAAAGTCATAACCAATGTCACAGAAAGGGACCAACAAGGGAACCTTTTATGTTAAATGTGATTCCCAATAACAGAGAGAAAGGAATGGGGCACTAAGGTGAAAATGATGGAAGCACTGAGAGGAATTTAACCACTGCCTCCTAGAGTCAGTGACAGAGAAGAAAGCCAGGTATAGGCTGGCATGCACCCTAGATATGGAGAAATCAGATTTCAAAGGATTAATGAAGGCTAGATGGGATGAAAAGCTCTCAAGAATGAAATGCTAAAGACACAAATGGAAACAATTCCCACGATGACAGAAGACAGGAATTGTCTGATGAGGCCAATGTGGATGCACAAGGAGTTCCCCGCATAGATGAACTCACACATTCTGAGTCAAGCTTAGTATGAGTCAGCAAAATGATGTGGCAGGAAAAAAACTTTAATCTTCCTCCCTTTGGGCTATATTAAAAAAAGATTTCACAGATAATCCCTTGATGCTTTGCCGTGTCCAGATTACAGCTGGAGGACTCTTTGCCGTCCTGGGTATTCTGGCTGAAAGAGCATAGGTGAAGCTAGAAAAGCATCCAAGGAGGGCCACCAGGAAGGACAGTGAAGGGTCTTGAATACCTGGCATGCGTAAGGAACAACTGAAAGAACTTGAGCCTGGAGAAGAGAGGAGTCACAGTGAGGGAAGGAAGTATCTGAAAGGCTACCATACAGAAGCAGAATTATACTTGATCCTAATGGGCAAAACCAGGAGCAGTAGATGTAAGTTGCAAAGAGGAAAATTCAGACTTCTTAACAATTAGAGCTGTTCCAAGGTGGAATGGACCACCCCAACATGGAGTCAGTTGCCCCTCTCTGGTATTCCTCAAGCAGAGTCTGGACCAGCACTTGTTGGATTCCATGTCTGGTACGGTTTGGATTCAATTCTCCTTGAGGTCCACATCTCACTATTCGAATAGCCCCCACCTTAGTTCAGGCCCTAATCACCTATCACCTGGGCTACTGAAATGGCTTCTTAATTGGTCTCCCTGCATCATCTCTCCCCGCTCCAATCCTTCCTCCAAATAGCTGCCAAAGTAACTTTCTTTAAGCACAAGGATCACACATCCTTTCCCCTACCCAGCAAACTCCAGTGGTTCCCTAGTGTCCCTCAGATAAGATATAAGCAACTCTGTTTGGTCACTAAAGTTCTTCACAACTTGGTTCCAACCCACTTTTCCAGCTTCATTATAGTTAACTCCCAAGAAAACTGGGCTTCTTGCTCTTTCTCATACTTTCTCATACTCACCTAATACTGCCTCTCCCATTTATATACATTTGCACTTGGTCATCCTCCATAGCTGGAATACACTAGCTCTTCACCTCCTCATGGAGAATCCCTTACTTTCTTCAAACTCCACCTTCTACACATGAAGTCTTTCTTGATCCCCTAATAGTAGTGTCCAACCTCTCTAAACTAACTGTATTTATTTTGTATGTACTTAAATACATCTCCCCCAATAGAATAAAAACTATTCAAGAACATGGGCCACCTAGTAGTGTCTCACAAGTACCAGATGCTTAATAAATGCTCAAAGACTGATAGAGAAGGCTGAAAGTCTTTGCTAACCATCACTTGAATGGCAAGCTAATTCTCATAATTGGAATGTAAGGGCAAGAAGGGAAAGCAGGAGAATGTAAGCTTTTTGAGGGCAGGGTTATGTTTTGGCTTTGTAGTGTCTTCCACATAACAGAGACCCTTAGTCAATGATTGCTGAACTGAACTGTTGAAGGGGAACTTTCAGGAAAGATGTTGTTCAGTTGTTTCTTTCTGTCATGTCTGACTCTTCTTGACACTATCAGACCACCTCCACAATGCAGGGATGTCATGAAGGAAATGGGTGACTGTTCCTTTCAAATACTAAAATATATCTTGATAACTGACCCTGTTTTATTCCTTCAACAGATATTTATTGAGTCAGTCTACTATATGAGCAGCTCAATTCCACAGAAACGTCCCAGGCTCTACTGCTCAGTGTTGTCACAGGTATTACTAACAGGCCCAGGTGAAGGCGGAGTAACAAGGTAACAATTCTTCCCAAAGGAAATGCCTTTATGTTTCAGTAACCTGCCTCTGGGGTCTAGGCTTCTAAACAGCTGGAAGAAGAGAAGCCCTTTAAACTCCCTTTCACTCTCTCTCCGCCCAGTCCCAAAGCCAGGGCCAGATTCTCACTGGAGAAAATTCTACCTTTCCCTGACGCTGGGCTCCCCCTCCTCCATCCCTACCCCCTTGCCCCGACGGATACCACATGGCTAGAGAAAACTGACGCCCAGTGAGAACTGAAAGTGCTGGGACAAAAGAGCTTTGCCCTAAGGGGAAGAGAAAGGATGGGGTGGGGAAGAAACGGAGGTCAGGGAAACAAACACCTGGCTTCTCCTGCGTCCACGGGAGCGGGAGGGGGCGGGGAGGGGGGAGCCAACCACAGCTGGCGCGTTCCTCGTTGCAGCTCCCCCCGCCCCGCTCCCGCCCCACTGTATTAGAGCCGGCCCGGGACCCAGGCCCCTTCCCCAGTCCCCGCTGCACATATAGCTAGCCCGGGCCCGGGCGCAGCGCCTAGCACGTCCTCGGCTGCCTCACCTCGCTCACCAGCCCCTGCCAGTCGCTCTCGGTCCGATTGAAATTCATGGCCTCATCCATGCGTGAAGCAGCTTCATCAATAACCTCCTCCCCCGCCCTGGCTCCCTTCCTCCCACCCCCAGCCCCAAGCGGCCTCGGCGGGCACTGGAGAGGGGCGCGGGAGGGGCGGGCGCCCGGACACCCGCGCCAGGACTGGCCCGACGCCCCGAGCCGCTGCCGCCTCCAGCTGCCACTGCCCGCACTGTTTACCCAACGTCAGCCTTAGCGTGAGGAACGGAGGAGGAGCTCGAACCGGAGCCGGAGCCCAGCCGGAGCTGCCGCTCCCCTCCGGGCACAAGCAACTGCCTCCCTCCTGCCCAACCTGGCGGGTTAGGCAGCCAGAGGCCCCGCGCCTTCGAGACCAGCTCACTGCAGAGGTGGCTGCCATCCACATTGGGTCGGGGTGTGTGTGTGTGAAGAGAGACCCCCCCGCTGCATCCCCCAAGTCCCTGCGGGCAGCCACTTCTGGGGTGGGCAGCAGATGGCTTGGTCTTAGCCAGGGCAGAAAGCGAGGGCCTTCGGCTCCTGCCGAAACTGCAAAGACAGTGCGTTCTTATTTGAGGTTCTTTATTGTTAACAATCACGACAATAACAAGATGCGTCTATGGACCCACGTGGATTCACCTTTTTAGATAATTAATAATGCTCAATCATCTTGGTTAATGTTTAGACTATCCTCCCCTGAGATGCCCCTTATCTTCATTCGACTTTGGGACTGGATTATTTAAAGGATCCAGAAAGGAGATGGGGAAGTCCAGCATAAATCCACTTCCAGATGGAGGAATGGAGCTACAGTTTAGGAAAGCTGATGCTGTTTGCCAAACCTACTTTCAAGCTGAAAAGAAAGACTGAGATGGGGCATGCAAAATCCCAGGGAACTCTGAAGGAAGTGGTAATCTGTGAAAGAACTGGCTTCATTCATAGGCCCTTGTGCCAAATCCCCTGGCAGAGCCCAGAATCAATCAGGGACCTTGATTAAGCACTCACATTTAGATAACATTTTAAGGTTTACGAAGTGCTTTCCTCACAACAACCTGGGGAGGCAAATAATGCAAGTATTTTTGTAGAGTTCAGACTGTGAGAAACTCCCAATGTTGGAAAATCCTTCCACCTAGGACAATGCAACTTACCTCTACTTTGTAGTCTTAGAGAGGTGCCTGGGGCCCTGAAAAGTTAATCAACTTATTAAGTACCTACTATGAACCAGGCATCCTGCCAAACATTGGGAATACAAAGATAAAAATGAAACAATCTCTGCCCTCAACAAGTTCGTATTCTATTGCAAGAAACTACAGGAACACATAAGTACATTCAAAATCATCAAACAGCATATTAAGAAAAGGAAAACCCAAAATCCCTGCCCCCCAGGAGCTGACATTCTAATTCTAAATGGAGACCACATGCAAATAAACTCTGTAAATGCAAGCTACATAACGGGATGTCCCAAAAGTGCAGTTTTAAGCTTTTAAATTAGTATAGCTCTAATATATTATATATGATTATAAAATATATAATATACAATATAAATATATAACCTGACATATTATATATTGTTATATAATATATAGTATAGCTATAATAGCTTAAAACTGCACTAAGATTTTTGGGACATCCTGTATAGTATAAATGTGACCTAAATATAAAATCATTTAGGGGAAGAAGCTCAAGTAGCTGTGGGGATCAGGAAGGGCCTCATTTAGGATATGTACTGGAGCTCATGTTTAGAGAAAGCTCTTTTAAGGAATTTACCCATGGCCTCACCCTAGTGTAAATATTGCCTACATTTTATAGGTACTTTCATATCTATTGTTTCATTGTTCCTAACAAGAACCCTGAGAAATAGGCAGAGCAGGGAGTATTATCTCATTTACATATGTCTGTTTCCTCCAGGGGTATCCTATCTATCCTGGGATGGATGGATAGATGGATGGATGGATAGACAAGCATTTATGCAGCACTTACTGTGTGCCAGCCACTGTACTAAGCTCCTGTCCACATCCTCCCAAAATACAGGGTTGGGGTTGGTGCTGGGTGCCCTCCCCTACATTTCTAGGCATTGGGTGAGTCAAAATGGAGCACACAGGCTGACCGTTGGTTGTCTGTCTCATCACTAAACTGACCAGTTTCCTTTTCTGTTCACCTTTTTGATGACTTCCTTTTTGCCCGTTCTAGATAATTCTGGCTTTGTAATATGTTTCAGCCTACTCATATCTAATACATCTCCATTGCCCTTGGGGTGACTTCCTAATTATTCAAAGACTCTGGTATTCTATGATGCACAGCCACACAACATCACTAAAAGAAGTATGGAGTTGTTAAAAGTCATTAGAGTGTGAGGTCATTGAGAGCAGGCATCATCTTTTCCCTTTGTATATCCAAGGCTTGGTACAGTGCCTGGCACGCTGTAGGTACTTCATAATAAATACTTGTTGATTGACTCACTAAAAAAACTGCTCAATTTTTTCAAGGAATCCAGCCTGTTCAATTTTGGCCCAGCTCAGCCACTCTACCTGCAATGTCTGTCCAAGGTCTAATCTATCTATCTATCTATCTATCTATCTATCTATCTATCTATCTATCTATCTATCTATCTATCTACCTTTCTATCTTTCTATCTACTGATGGGTCAACTTTATGGCCTGTCCATCCAACTTCAATATCATTACCTGAACAAAAGCCATTCTTCATCCACTTGGGTTTTACTGTGTGAATTGTTAGGCTTTTGTGATGACGGATCTTATTTTGTTATCTCATCTTTCAAAGACTCTTGTATGATTTTGACATATTTGTGGAAGATGTTTTTTTGGAGGCAGCCTGGAAAGTAGCTTTTGGCTCTTTGGAAGGAAATAGGTTTTTTGAATAATCAATAAACAAGCATTGTGTGGGATTTTATATTTTCCACAGCTTTCAGTCACCTGTGTGACTACGCTGGGGTGATCTGCTATAGAATATTATTTGAGAAAGCCTGCCTTTGTGGTTTGGTGGCAAGAGCACTGGCCTTAGTATAAAAAGACCTGGGGAAAAATCCTGTTTCTAATATGTAATATCTATGTAAGCTCAGGCTGGTCTTTTAACCTTGGGCCTCAGTTTCCTCATCTATAAAATGAGAATACTAGACTAGATAGCTTTTACAGTTGCTTCTAGATCTATATCAATGATCTTTCTCATACTTTCATCAAAGTTGTCTTTGATGTATGTATAGATCACTCTCACAAAGATTTTTACAGAGATGGTAAAGTAGAAAAAATGATTAGCAGAATTAATATTTTATTTGCCTTTTTTTTAATAATCAGGCAGATCAAGTTCATAGAAGTTAACCTGATTATTCAGGGGCACACAACTGACAAGTGGCAATGAAGATGCTAGAAGCCAAGTTTTTTGGTTCCCAGGATAGTGTTCGTTCCATTATACCACCCTGCCTCCTGAAACCATCAAAGGGATTTTACAGGTTAACTGGGATCCTAAGAGTTAACACAGGCAATGTTGAGGGGGAAAAAAAGACAGAGAAATAAACTCTTGGGCTAACAGTCTGACATTTCATATTTAAAAAGCAAATTACATTCTTCCTCTGAATCACTCTCTAATAACCCATCAGGTTTAGCTTTGACCTGTAGTCCTGAACTTTTAGACTGAGTAAATGTAAACTTGTCCATCTGTCACTTACCAGCTGTGTAACCCTAGGAAAGTATCTTAACCTCTCTGCATCTTAATTGTTATTTTTTCAATCTTAAATAGGGACAATGATGCTTAGAGAATCATAGCATTATAGTGCTAGAAGGTTTCTTAAAGATAATTTAGTCTAAGCCTCTCATTTTACAGAAGAGCCAGGTGTGACTCAGGGAGGTTATAAGATTTACTCAAAGTTTGTTAGTAACAGAACCAGGATTAGATCTCAAGTGTCCTGACTCCTCATCCATTCTCCTAATTCATAGTCTAGTTCTTTTTTTTTTGCTGTATTTTGCTAAAAATTAGAACTGAAAGAGACCCCCTTATTTTACCAATGAAGAAATTTGGACCCAGAAAAGGGGAATTAATAAACTACCTACCTACCTGCAAAAGGGTTAATAATTAAAAGTGCTTTGTAACTACAAAGTGCTATAATAAAAGTGAATTATTATAATTGTTATTCTGCAACAGCTTCCTCACTCCCACAAAGAAGGGGGATGTCTTCAAGAAAATTGTGAAAATTTGTCTTTGACCTTTTCCCTATTTGTCTCGTCTCTCTCTCCTGTCCCTTAAGGAAACATATCCTTTGTCCCATCAAGGGCCTTACTCTCTAGGCTATCTATCAAATTGGAAAATAATCTCCTCCACGATGTCAGTTATTGAAGGTTTTAAGGTATTGCTATTCATGAACCTTTAAGACCCAAAAGAATATCTACCTAATGGTAGAATTTTTGACAGATGATTTGGGAATGAGGAGCCTTCCAATAACACCACATAAATAACTACATGTTTCTTCTGTCTATAAGAAAGCCAACTTATTTTTAACCTTTATTTTCAGAGACCCCTTCTAAAACTTTTGTTTACATCCTTTCTTTGATGCTAGTCAATTAATTATACATATATATTTTTTTTAATTGGAGAAAATTTCAAGAATTGAAAGCCTACACTCCAAAATATGAAGAAACTTACAACTCAGTTGCCTAGTTTTCTAGATCATTGGTTTTTGAGCTAGAAAGGGAATCCCAACCCCTTTGTTTTTTACAGATCAGGAAACTGAGGCTCAGAAAAGTTAAATGACTTCCTTAAGGTCATAAAAGCAATAATATTTAAAATTTTGATATGAATCCAGCTCCTCTGGTATTGAACCCAGATTCCCCTTAATTCAAGTGCCTTCCCTCTCTTGATTATGTCCTGTTTATATCTTTTTTGTACATAGTTATTTGCATGTTCCCCTGCTAGACTGTGAGCTCCTTGAGAGCAGGCACTCTGTCTTTTCCTTTCTTTGTATCCCTACAGCTTAGCACAGTGCCTGGCTCTTTGTTGTTTAGTTATGTCCAACTCTTTGTGACCCTGTGGGCCCTACTGTCCATGGGGTTTTCTTGGCAAAGATACTGGAGTGGTTTACCATGTCCTTCTCCAGTGGATTAAGGCAAAGAGGGTTGAGTGACTTGCCCAGGGTCACACAGCTAGTAAGTGTTTAAGTCCAGATTTGAACTCAGGTTTCCTGACCCCAGGCCCA